TTTTTTTAATTCACTTCCTCACTTTAATACTGGAGAGTTATGTTTGTTGGTTGAATCTCCACTGCTATCAAGGTCTATATAGAACTTGTTTTTTTCTATTATAAAGCTTATTGCACCACCTTTCTCTCGACCTCAACCTCTTTGTGTTAGAATTTAAAGTGTAAGTTTAAGTTGTATATTGAATAAAAATAAGAAAGTAAAACATTATATAAAGATAAAGATCCATTAACACATTATTTTAAAATTTTTTTATAAAAAATAGTGTCAATTCTTTATATAGTTAGACTCAAATATCATTGATATTATATCTCTCGAATGAACCTTCTTCTCCATAAACCCAACACTGAATCCACTATGTTTTTTAAGAGAGAGAGATTCCCAACAACAATATTGTATTTGGTTGAGGTTTCTTGCAATCATGTGTTCAAAAATGTGAATTCCAAGGTTCATGTTTAAGGGTGGGGATTCGGGGTTTGGTGATCATCTATTTGGAGTTTAAAATTGATTTCGAAGGAAAACTAGTTTTCGATGAATCGAAAAAATCAAAGAAAAATTGGTCTATTATTAAGGGTCACCCCTCCAGTCTCGTTGTCATCTCCTTAATCCCATCAGTTTTCGTAATTATTATAAAGGTAGAGATGACAAATGATCAATTTGTCTTCACAAATATTGTCTGAACTCGTTTTCGTTTTGACGAGAATCCCCATATTAATCAAGTATGAATATGGGTATGAATAATATCCGATATTTTCAATTAGATAATGGAACGAGATGAATATGTACATACTTGACTTGTCTTATTCTCATACCTTTACCAATATATATATATATATATATATATATATATACTAAAAAAAAGTAAATATTCAAATTAAGAAATAATCTAAATATTAGAATTTACATTTTCATATGATAAAAACAATGGATGTTGGATTAGTCCGAATTCTTAAGCTTCAACCACGATATAGCCGTGAGAATGAAGAAAAAGTTACATTGTGAGTTTGATTACAAACTTAATCATTTTTAAAACTTTAAACGACGATATATTTTTCTTAGTTTCCATTATTAGTAAGAAAAATAACAATGATAGAAAAAAAGAATAGCATACCAAAAGTTTGAAATGAAAATCATCTTTTACTTTGTTTTGGAGATTGAGAAGCAAGCATCCCTATAGCAAGTGGTGGATGAGAGAAAGAGCCATTCACAATGAGAGTGGAAAGCCATTTGTTTGCTGCCTCAGAATAGTGCACACCATCCCAACTAATGTACTTTGATGAATCTTTACATTTGTAGTATTCTTCTTCTCCATTTTTTATCTTCTTTCTTCCACAGTCAAAATAGCTTACACTCCTACTCCCACAGCACAACTTCTTTGGATTAACAAAACCTACCTCATACAACCATGCAATTCAAACTATAAGGCTAATATATATACGTTACTCACTCCAAATAATTTTATTCTATATGTAAGTTTTTAATGTTGTGGCTTCTATATTTTCTTTTATTCAATTAATTTTTTTTTTAAAATTCAATTGAGTCTCTATATTAATAAAAAAAAAACTAATTTCTCCTGTTAAAATCTTCACCTTGGTTCCTTGCATTTTTTACTAGTTCATATTTGGCAGAGTAGACATCAACATAGGTGAAGATGGCATTGGTGAAGTTTTTTCTTAGCTCAAACACAATGTCCTTAAGTTGGTTGTTAAACTCCTGAGCAATCTCATTCTCATTTTTTCTGCATCCAGCAGAATCCAAGTCTTCGTATGTGAGTTTGTTCATCATGTTTTTTCTTGGCAAACATCCAATTGGACCTGTGTTATGTATCCAAAAGAACCTGCCTCCTTCGTTCAAAAGTTGCTGAAGCAAAAACCAACACAAGAGTTGGATGAAAAATATATTTTTAAAAAAGATGATTGATAAATCACCATAAATTGCCAGACAATAAATTAAAATTAAATTGTGGTACATAAAAAAACATTATAAATAAATTCTAATAAATAAGGAATACATTTGTTAAGAAGTGGGTTTTAACCCTAATTTAATCCTACAAAATTGGTTTGTAGAGTGAGATTTGTATCCATTTATATATTTTAAATTAGCCTTATTTCTAATTGATATGAAATTTCTAACAGAATTTACCTGCAATCCAAAAGAAAATTGGCTTAGTATACTTGGGATTGTTGATCTAAGTGATTTTATGTCTGAGCTCATGAAACCAAAGCTTAGATCATTCTGACCAATATCAATGGTGTATAGGGCATTGGAGAAGTTGATGGACTTCGGTAACCTACTCTTGAAAGATGCATCCACCCCTATTATGGAAAATACATTAATAAATAATATTATTAAAAATGAATTATTTTCTTGCAAAATAAAAAGTTAAAATCAATGTGAACTAATTTAAATTCACTCTTTAGATTTGTATAATTAAATAGAGGAAGGAGAACAAACTAGTGTGAGAGGTTTCATTGTAGAGGGCCATTGTTCTGGACTTGAACTGTATGAATTGAGATATTTGAAGCCCAAAGTTAATTGGGCTAAAGCCCGTCTTTTGTATGGATGAACCACCAGCTGCAAAGTTTGCACCGTAACTGAAATTTGACCCAATGGAATCCAAATATGCACTCAAGTATGGCATCTTCAACTCTTCACCTAAATATGCACACATTAAAAAAAACATAAAATAAGTGATAACAACTAGTTTTCTTTATGAAACTAATCATGGGTTTATTACTGGATTTGAGTTTCAACCTAGTTTATTAAAATTTAAGATTTAAATATGTTTATTTTCGATAAACTTAAATACAAAATTAAAATTCGTCTTATATTAATGTTTAATATATTTTAATTCATAAACTTTAAAAGTGAATTAAAATAATCATCTTAATCTAATAATATTTAAATTTGTTTACATGTTAAATAGTATTTTAGACGTTTAAGTTCAAACGTGATGAATCATGTAAATTGTTTAAACGTTACTCTAAAACACTATTTAATAATAAAAAAATAACAACATTTGAGTTAAAGACTATATCTCTTTATTTTTAAACTGTATCAAAAAATTTAAAAATTAAATTATATTAAAGTTTGACACAAATTACAATTTTGTATCAAAATTTAAAAACTAAAATTATATTTAATCAAAAGTTTAACTGGCTAAAATATTAAAGTTGCATAATTTGTTTTAAGTGATTTTTAGTTGTCAAATATTGTTTAGGAAAAAGATAAAATAGAAGATTTGGTTTGTGCTTACAGATGAAATCAATGATGAGTCGGCCATCACAGTTTCTTGTAGGGAATTTTCCAGGAAAGTTTTGACCATTGGGAGGAAAAACCATTGCAAATGCTGCAGAAAATGTTCCTGTGTCTGAATTTGAGTCTCCAAAGTTATAAATTGCTGAGTATTCTTTATGCTTATCATCATCATCTTCTCCCTTTCCTCCTATCATCAATAAACCTACCAAACCAAAAACAAAAAACATCATCTTCAATCCCATGTTTCGTCACACACCAAAAACAAATAAACTTATTCAATATTCACATATAAACAGTTTCTTCACGTTTCAAATCCATAAAATGTATGTTATGTTTTTTTACGTTTAATTAACTTTTAAGTAATTCATAATTAGTGAAATATTTATTACTAGAAAGTTTTTGTCTGAAATTCTAAATATTTTTTTATAACTTTTGTTTAATTAAATATTCAAAATATATATTTTTTCATATTTGTATCAATGTTTGATTTTTTTTTAATATATGAAGTATGTAATTATTACTTTTGTCTGCTAGTCTTCAATTTGCTTTATCACTTCTTGTTTTCATCTCTAGTCTGGTTTAACTTACCAGTCAACTGAAGTTGATCCACAAATTAGAAATTAAAAAAAAAACAATTATTTGTTGATGACAAAATGAATTACTAAGCACTTAGATAAAGATAAAATAAACATTTTAAACATTCAATCGAACAAAAAAAATTAATAAAAATTCAATTGAATGGATAATTCTATTATTGATTTAATGGGAGTGGATTGATCATGTTACTTGTCTTGTTGGTGAATCAGAAACAGGGAAAGCTCACTTAAACAACCATGTTCTACTAAATTAAAATAAAAATAAATAGATTGAGAGATTAATTTGTTTTTATATTGTATGGCTTGTACTTTAAACATAAGAATAATATTTCTATAATTAAATTATTCAATTTTTTTATGATATTTTGAATGGGTAATAATGCTCTAAATTGTAATGAATATATTGCTTTTAAATGAAATAAAGCAACGAAATATAGATGCCATTTATTAAAAGGATTAAAAGGATAAATATTGATCTAAAAAGATAGATAAAGAATCCTTTAAAGATAAAAACAAGAATGCTTATTTACTTTAAGATTAAAAGAGGCATGAGTGTAACAAGGAAAAGTGATAGAATAAAAATTTAAGGCTTTAAATAATTATTTGTGGAAGCTTTGAAGGAATCCACAATGAACTAACAACCTTGATGAAAGGAGCATGTGTACTTAAGGAACCTTCCTTTTATTGAATAGGTTAAATTCTATTCAAATCTTTAGAAACATTTGACCGACAAAACTCTGAGAATCCTAACTTTGACCATTATGGACATTGGACAATCCCCATTAGGACATTGTGGGATTCATATCTTCCCATATCCACTTAGCTTTTTTCTATTATTATTATTATTATTATTCTTCATTTTCAAAGCATATCCACACTATAGTTGCTTCAATCATGCAGAAGAAATTTGATAGTACTGGAGGGTTTAGTAGTTTACATGGGATCTTACATTTTCATAATGCCAATCTACACATGGAATTGACACCATACAACTTAATATATATAATGTTGAATTTTCTTATTTTTACTCCATGAAACTTGGATTCACTTAGATTTTCAAAAATGAGTTATGTTCAAGTTGAATAATTTTTGTTTTTCCCATTCAAAACTTGAAAATTTCAGCAAGTTTTTATCTTTTTCACTCTGGGCAACATGAAACACACAGGGATGATAATTACTGTTATTCAACATGAGGTCAAGTAGTTCAACAAACTATTGCTTAGAAGGAAGATAAAACCTAGAAGGGAAAAAAAACCCATCAATATTCACTATCTGAATCGCTCTTCTTGAGGTAATATTTACACAAGAGTGCATACAGTAGCAGACTCACTGCACTTAACCATGATAGAAGCCAATAGTAATTGTCCAAACGTGCTTCAACCATATCATCACAGAACCAGCTTGGTATTCCCTTTGAACTTGTGTAAACTTCGACTAGTGTGATCAGCAGTGCACTCACAAAGCTTCCAACCCCAAAAACACTGGTGTACAAGGCAATTCCCATTGTTCTCATTGTCCTGGGAACTTCACCATAGAAGAACTCTTGCATGCCAACAACAGTGAAAATGTCTGAGATTCCAAGAAGAATGTACTGTGGTAGCAGCCAGAAAATGCTTAGAGGCACTGTCTCTGAATGTAATCCTGCACTTCTCATTTGCCTTCCAATCTCAAGCCTTCTAGTCTCAACTAGAGCTGCAATAATCATGGCTATGATTGAGAGAACCATTCCAATTCCCATCCTTTGCATCACACTTATACCCTTGTCCTGCCTTGTAATCACCTGAGTAATTGGTATGAATATTTTGTCGTACAGTGGCATCAGTAGTATTATGGACAATGTTATAGCACTTTGGAGTGTGGCTGGTGGGATCTTGAAATCTGCACCAATGTTCCTCTTCATGGTCATGCCTTGTTTTGTGAAAAATGTTGCAGGCTGCTGGAAAATCACTGCAAACATTAGAAGCATTGTCCATATGGGCAAAAGCCTCACCATAACCTTGACATTTTTTAGAAGATACATGCCACTTTTAGAATCATCATTCAAATCCTTCAGGCTTTCCAAGTTTTCAGGACAAAGGGGTTTCTCTTGAAGCCTAAAACAAGAAAAACAAATATTCATGTTAAGTACATTGAGTATGTCATGGTAGTAAATTTAAAGCTTAATTGTACTTCTGCCACTCCTATTATTAATGAAATTCAATTTTGGTCCTTTAACTGTGCAATTTTAATTCATCTGATAATATCTAGTATGTATAAATGCTTCCTCTCATGCAATGCCACATCTACATTTCTGTCAAATATTGGATGTCAAGTTAAAAGATGAACCAAAATTGTACCATTAAAACAGTAGATGATCAAATTTGCATGATAAAACAGGGAGATCAAATTGAATTTCAGTGATAATTAGGAATGAATGGTGCAATCAAGTCTAAATGTGACTTTCTATGAAAGTGGAACTTACTCTAGCTCCAGCACTTCAGACTTGTCATTAGGTAGGGTAATTTCACTATGGAAACATCTCAATGCAGAAGCTTTTATGGTTTGAAATATGTTCATGATGGGCTTCTTAGCTTCAAGGAATTCATGCTGTTTATATAGATATATAGGGCTTCCAGCAGAGAAAATCAAAATGGACATAATCATTGAAATAGCAGGGATGGCAAATCCTGGCACCCATCCAAAAGTGTCTTGGATGTAGGACATGACTGTAACACCCAGAAGGCTTCCACTGCAAACACCAAAATACCACCATTGGAAGAATAGAGTCTTTTTGTTGTAACTTTTATCATCTTTGCTACAAGGCAGTTCTTCCTCCTCGCCAAGTTGATCTGCTCCAAAGGCTTGCAGAGATGGGTTATATCCACCTTGGCCTAATGAAATTAAGTAGAGAGACAGAGATAGAAATGAAGAAGACATTGTTCTGTTTCTGTGATGCCATGACCGTGCTAATGCTGTTGTTGTTAATGCTACAAGTCCCTAAGAAGAGAACACAAAACAAAATATAGTTACTAGCAGATGCATCCACAAAATGCTGCCATGTCACTGTACATGTTCATAATGTAACAAAACCACATACTAATAATATGAAAATTTGTCAAGCACTTCAAAATCACTGTGTACATTGGTCTTACTTTGTTTCGATGAATAAGTTACCCTATTGATATGAATTCAAGATATCAAATCAGTTCTGCATGACACTATAATTGGTAAATAACTTTAGGTTATTTCACCCAGGGATTTGTTTCAATAATGATCGCCTTTTAGCTAGTGGTGCTATAATTCTTAATTTAATAACTTAGTGGTATGCTTTTTTCTAAAGTTAAAGTAAGACAAAAAATTTATAATAATATAACTTTGTGTACTGTAAATTTGGTGACTTCACTTGAGTTACTTCCATGAAGTCGCATGCCATGGATTCCCATTTCAAAGTCCACTTTTGAAATAAAAATTTATTTGTATTTATCCATTCCATTAGTATTAATTACTGTTTTTAATAATGCCCTTATTTCAACATAACTTTTTCAAATAAACTTTACACATGTTATTTCATGTTAGTAAGTTAAAAATAATTTTATTATAAATGATGATAACAATTCTCCTGTTCCTTAATATGTGTGATATCCTTCTAACTCAACAGATAAGAATGAGAACAGAAATGAAGGCAGTAACTATTTCAATTATTGAGAGGTTCTCCTAGTCAATAGAGGACATAAATAATGATAAGCTTCTAAATAAGAACATACTGTATCAATTTTGAGTTACTACAGTGAAGGTAACAAGAATAATATATTTATTTCCCAGTAGTGGATGCACACAAAAACAAGATTGTCCACGTGTACCATTTGTGTGAATTACTATAAATGGATATTTATCTATCACGTGTGGCTAAACATATCAAATTCAGTACCTAAGATTTCTTGCTGCAGCTTGCAGAGCTATAAAATAGTGTTTAAATTAAGGCATTTACTCCTACTATGCTTGGAATATTCCATCAGACATTTTAGTGTTTGATAATTTGTTTGTGTGAAGTTTGTTCTACTGATGCAGAAGAAAATACCAGTTCTTTAATATGATGAAGTATCACATGTTCTTCCTCACCAATGAAACTCTTTCCATCGGTTTTCTTTTTTAATCAAAGTTTGGATAGATATTTTAGTGGGGTGTAGAAAATCAGATTTCAAAGGTAGTAAAACGTGTGGCACTAAGGTTGACAGAAGGTGAAATGTTAATTAACTGAGAAGGGTCCAAAACACTGATATCTTTTCTCAGCCTGCTTAACTCTCTAATTGGTCCAAAAAACACTGAAATATCCTTTTGTGAGAAGAGTGCATATGACTCGGACTCCAATTTACAGACTCAATGGATATCCTAATCATATGTTACACAGAGTAGGTCAGCTAAATTACCAGCCACATACACGTTTCATATTTAAATTCAGAAGTGGCCAATAAAGTTAGGAGGCAAAAGAATCAAGAGCTATGATAAAGTTCCCATATATAACTAAGAACAAAAGTTATATGCATGTCTTTAGATTTGTTTTTTTCATACTGTTCTCTATTCAGAATTGAAATTGCACCTTAGTGACTTATGCTGATCTTGAATTGAAACCTTTGTTATGCAAATTTTTCAAGAGAAAATTCAACTGTAATTAGAAAACAAACATAAAAGCACCTAGATGAGAGTGCATTTAAGTTTTGTCATGCTACAAAAATACATAAAAATGTGAAAGAAAGGGTGAAGGAAAATTTGTGGAGGGTGACTCACCACAAAATACAGGAAAGATGAGACCATTATGGTGGAATATTTGTGCCAATATGCGTCGGCAATGGGTGCCACCAGCAAAGGCATTATGGAAGTAAAGCCTACCCAACTGTTAACCATCTTTGCTGCAGATGAGTTGCTCAAGTTCACAACATCAGTTAGGTATGTCACCAGATTAGATGCCACCCCCTTGAATGCAAACCTCTCTATTCCTGCAATGGCTGTCAAAGTGCACCAACAAACATCTCAAAGTTAAGTTTTAACCCCAAATAAATTGGCCTAATAGAAAGTCAGAAAGAGCAAGAACACTAGACTTATAATATTTGTTAGACTCTTGACTCTGTCTTTTCTGATATTTTATAAGATGCTAGAATACAATACAACTCCTTTCTGCGCTTCTCAGTTTTCAAGGGACTTTTCATTTTTCACATACTCAGAAAATATATTTTGGGTGAATATAGTATCCCAAGACAAGAATCACAACGCAAACCAATCCCTTTAAGTATTAAGATCCGTCTCAGAAAGTTATTCTCAAAAGATGGTGAATAAGACACATTTATTTAGAACCAGAGAGAAAGCCATCATTGGGATTATTTATGATACTTCCCTCTTCTCATCCAAGCATGATTCTCAAGAGCAACTATCATGCTTAATCATAAGCAAATTCAAGTGCAATAAGATGGT